CTGATTTGTTTCTTGCCAGGGCTGTGGAAAGCCTAACCATGTTAATGAATATATTTTTATCTTCTTGATTTATCCAAGATTGTGATTTCCATATAGTCTATGAATTATTGTGCTTAATGCAATTAAGAGTTTGGCCACCTCTTAATTGATTTGGGTTATGTGAGTGAAGAGCTTGAAAGTAGACCAACACACCTCGGACTTAGCTGAGACCGTTAATACTTTGCGGAGATACAACATGAATCTCAACCCCAGAAAGTGTGCATTCGACGTCACATCAGGCAAGTTCCTAGGCTTCGTCATTACACAACGAGGTATAGAGGCCAACCCAGAGAAGATCCAAGCTATTTTGGACATCGCACTACCTCGGTCAGTGAAGGAAACCCAGAGGCTCACCGGCCGAGTGGCCGCCCTCAGGTGCTTCATGTCGAATTCAGCCGACCGTTGCCTGCCCTTCTTCTGGGCCATCAAGAAATTGAAAGACTTCTAATGGATCGAAGAGTGTCAACACGCCTTCAAAGAATTGAAGTCCTACCTCACCTCTCCTCCCCCCCTCACTCGGCCACTCCCGGGAGACGTCTTGTACTTATACCTCTTGACTGGGGACGAGGCCATCAACTTGGTACTTATTAGAGAAGATGGAGTGCAGAGACCAATCTACTACGCTAGCAAGGTCCTCTATGACACTGAGACCGGATATCCCGAGGTAGAGAAGCTAACCTTCGCCTTGGTGGTTTCGGCCAGGAAGCTCAAGTCGTATTTTCAAGCTCACACCATCACGGTCCTGACCAATCAACCCGTACAGACCGCATTCGGACCATCCGAGCGCACCTATCTCTAGGCGGCCTCAAGTATAAATACGGGCAACCCTCTCAAGGTAAACATCTACATCTACAACTTTGGAACTTAGACAAGAGCAAACACTTGAGAACTCCTAATCTCCTTCATGGCCTCATCTGAGTGTTTACCCCTCAGGTCTCGTCCGCCTTGCAGCTCCCTTGTACTAACTTGACCTTCGGAGTCTCCGCCTTGGGTATCAACCCGGGACCTCTGACGTCCTCCTTCATTCTTTGTAGGACCAACCTGATAGTCCTTGGCCACTCCGGACCTCGGACCACTCAATAGCACCTCAACTTAGGAGCAAATTGACAGTGTTGCCCTCAGCCCATTTAACCCGGCAATAGGAGCAATCGATTTCTTTATGAGATTGTTGTTTAACATGATGAATGGAGAATCAATCAACAGTATTTTGAAGTTTAACATGTACCTTTAATCACTCAGACTAGGAAGGCTGGAGAAAATATAAAAAGTAAAAAGAAATATAGTATAATAGAGGTATTATAGGATGATATGATCATCATAATCGATTGTCTGGTGCCAGTAGGCCACATGGAGTTCAAATTTGGTTCTAAACTTCTAGGACAAGAAGAGAGAGAGAGGTCACGTCTTTGCCCCACAAGGAGTCGCCCCTCATCGGAAGATGTTCCCTATACACGACGGGGATGTGCTGTGGGGCGTTGTGGGGCAGAGATGTAACCTCTGAGAGAAAGATGCTGGATTTTTTGCCCAACTTGAATGGAGGAGGTGCATGGTCAAGTCATACTTATACAGCACAAGTCAAGAGTCTTACTTAGTATGAGCGGGATAAACTTTTCATTTTGAGTGAATTGAGAGAGTTAACATCTACGCCCCACGAGGGAGTGCCTCACAACGTTCCACAACACATCCCTACCGTATATTAGAAACATCTCTCAATAATAATATCAGAAATGATGATATCATCATCGAATTGAGAAGGAATGTGTGTGAGAGAACATTTGGCTGGCCTTCATTTTGTGGGGCGTTTTTTGGGCGCCAGGCTGTGAGGCGCAGATTTAAACTCGTTCCCAGCACGATGCCAAGCACCTATTTATACCTTTGAATATCCTATTACAAACAATGAAACAACCGAATTCCATTCGAATATGACATAAATCCAATGATCCGATTCGATCGTTTGCAGCTCTAGTTTGGCAAGCCTGCACAATTTGAGTTGAGTTGGGTGGTCTGAGAAACGCCAACCCAAGCCCGGTCCATTAACAGCCCTGGTTTAATCAACTCATCAAGCCTGCAAATTGAGATGGCCCGGGTCGGAATTGCCATCTCCACTTCCTTCTTTACAGAATTGTGGTTTCGAGCCTTCAACGGATAAGGAAAAACTCGAAAGAACGACTCTTCACTCCTCCGTGGTCCCTAGCGTGATCTCCATGTCCTGTTTTTCTAGCTCTCTCGAAATTCAAAAAATAATCCATTAATCGAAAAAATAATTCATCCATGACTTTCAGTTTCAGCTTCTCTCTACCACTCTCAAAACCTTCCCTGCTGCTTCCTTCTCCTTCTCGGGAGCTCCACAGACACAACCACCGTGCTAGATTCAGAACCCGAACCGTTCAAATCTCCGTCGACTCTCCGGTGTTATCTGACTCCCCGCCGGAAAAGAGCACAGGAGTTGTCGTTGTTGGAGCTGGGCTCGCCGGGTTAGCTGCTGCTACTCGGCTCCACTCGGATAATATCCCTTTCGTCCTTCTAGAAGCTTCGGACGGAGTCGGCGGCCGCGTTAGAACCGACGTCGTCGACGGATTTATCCTGGATCGAGGGTTTCAGATCTTCATTACTGCCTACCCTGAAGCACAGAAGATCCTCGATTACAAAGCACTCGATCTCCAGAAATTCTACTCGGGCGCTTCCGTTTACTACAACGGCGGGTTCCATACCGTTGCTGATCCGCTGAGGCATTTTCCGGACGCGCTAAGGAGCCTAGCAAACCCTATCGGATCCGTTCTCGATAAACTACTGATCGGGTTAACGAGACTTAGGGTTTTGAGTAGATCGGATGAAGAGATATTGTCTGCAAATGAGGTTCCCATTATTGATTTGCTTAAAACGTCAGGGTTTTCTGAGTCCATCGTTGATCGGTTCTTTCGGCCATTCTTCGGAGGGATTTTCTTCGATAGGGAACTCGAAACCACTTCGAGATTGTTCGATTTCATCTTCAAGTGCCTCGCTTTGGGCGACAATGCGCTTCCCGCCAAAGGAATCTCTGCAATTCCAGAACAATTAGCAGCCAAACTTCCCTCCGGCTCGATTTTCTTGAACTCTAAGGTCGTCTCCATCGATTTCGACAATTCCAAGTCCAACCCCCCGAGCGTGAGATTACAGAGCGGAGAGGTCCTGAAGAGCGAGCTAGGAGTGATCGTAGCAGTCGAAGAACCTGAAGCAGACAAGCTTTTGGCGGGAAAGATCGCCGGACGACGGCCCGGGAAGAGACGGCCTCGGAGTACGGTCTGTTTATATTTCTCAGCTGACCGGGCTCCGGTTCGGGAACCGGTTTTGTTCCTTAACGGTTCCGGTTCGGGAATCGTAAATAACATGTTTTTTGCCACTAACGTGGTTCCATCCTACGGTCCACCCGGGAAGACATTAGTATCGGTTTCGTTAATCGGTACGTACGAGGGTGTCTCTGATGAGGATCTGGCATCTGAGGTGGTTCGTGAGCTTTCGGACTGGTTCGGGAGTTCAACCGTGGGCTCATGGAAACATTTGAGAACCTACCATATCGGGTTTGCACAGCCGGACCAGAGCCCACCAACCGATCTGATGAAGAACCCGAAGATTGAACTAGGTGTCTATGTTTGTGGTGACCATCGAAACTCTGCTACTTTTGATGGAGCTTTAGTTTCGGGAAGGAGAGCGGCCGAGGCTCTACTAAAGGATAGAGCTTTGGCTGCTGTATAGCTGAATTTTTCATTAAAATTCATTCTTAGTCTATTTGTTCTTTCTGTAATTGAATATCAGCAAGTTTATATACATGTTTAGCTTGTCTATTCATATACTTTGAAGTTCATACTAAATTTACTACTGGAATTGAAAATTTAAATGCAATCTCATTACAAATATTTTGAATCTGACAAGAAAGAAAGAAAATGGGATAACCTAACTCATGAGCAACTTTGTTACATGAATCTATGAGTGGTAAAATTCCTATTCGTTTTCTTTTTGGTTTGATGAAGGGATATGGGGTGAGTGTCTTATTGAAAAAAAAAAAAAAAGAAAAAGAAAAAGAAAATGACTATGACAAAGTTCTTAGAGTTCAATAGAATGTTTTTTTTTTTTAGAGTTCTACACAACAAGGCTTCAACATTTTTGTGAGTGAATACCAAAAAAAAAAACATTTATGTGAGTTGATCAATGTCAATGGCATGGTAGTGTGGAAAACTGTAAGAAATTAAGGCTGTGTTTGGTTGCAGTGTAAATGAATTTTTAATCATGAAAATAAGGTCGTGTTTGGTTGCAATGCAAATGCAAATATGTACATTGCATATTTACCCTCTTTTCGGTTCATGAATGCAAATACAGTTCCGATTTTAAACTGTTTTTGCACTCATTTTGTTTGTTTGAAATCGGTGCTAAATGTGAGCCCCATCATTAAATGCTCTAACTACCTTATGCTCCAATGCCTTAATTTTGATTAAAAAGTTGATTATCAAAAGAATACAAAATTGTATCCAAAAAATAAGTACAGTAATAATATCTTTTCAGAGTATAAAAATGTCAAAAAATACATTTTTGATCTAATAATCATTACTTTTTTACATATCAATGTAAACTATACATACTCCAATTGGACATTTGTATTACAAACAAATGGAATCTAAGTCACAATCGATTTAATGAGAGTGTAAATGGGGGCCAGATCATTGTGCCCATTTACACTCGTTACATTTGGTTACAACCTCTTCAGAGTTAATATCATCCCAAATGATGTTAACCTTCCACCTCTACCAAACTACCACTGCTTCTTCCCCGCGAAGGAGAAGAGATAGAGATTCCAGGGAAAGGCATGACAATAAGGATATTGAACAAACTTCTAACCGTTGTGGTGGTAGCAATTACCACAATCAATTATATTGCTCGGAGAGGGATAGGGATTACAAGCGTTGCAATAGTTCTCCTTGTCATGACCAATGCCATTCTCCCCCTATCTGGTCGTCTCCAACATCGCCTTTCAATCGCTTAAGGATTTCTAGTTGTTGCCATAGGTCCAACAATTTTCAGTTGCTAGATTGGAAGGAAAAGAAAGATCTCATTAGATATGAGTTTTTTTTTGCTAGATCTGGGTCTAAATCTTGATTTTCAGTTGTCAATAACAGCTATGTAAGATCGGGACTTCTCGTTACGTTCACTGCAAGAAATTTGGTTTTAACCTACGGTTTTATTCCAGCGGTCATGTCTTCATGCAGGCAAAAACCGGCAAATTCGAAAATAATTAAACTCAATTAGGGGCCGGCGGTCACAATTGAACTAAAACAGTAAATTTAATCTCTCGACGTTTATTATTTAAAAATAATAAAAAATAGATAAATTTCTTAAACTATTTTATGATTTAGTTAATTGACTAAATGTATCCTATTATTTAACCGCTAAATGTTCCGTCACAATATATGCACATTAACATCACGTGACCTGTACAATTTTTTAAAAACTCAATATTGCCCTCTGAGCCCCCACTCTCTCTCTTCTAAGACCTCCCCTCAGCATCGGGAAACACGTCTTCTGGTGAGCGGAAGTGGCGGATTCAGCCTCAAGGATTCACACATGGTTGCATGGAAATACACCAGATCCTTCACATCTTCTGAATCAAACACCTATGGCTGCTTTTGATCTCTAACGACACTTTCCGCTTCCTTCTTCTTCTTTAACTGTATCAATTCATCTAGGATCTTTTTCTCCACGCAAGGGGTTGTGGAAACCAACCAGAGGAATCAAGTGAGGGACGTTCCCGCCAAGTCCCGCCCAGCAAACAAGAAGCCCAGTGCAGTGTCTCTAAGGAACAGATCACTGTAAGCTTTGCTTTCTCCATTTTGAGCTTGAGAACTCATGTACATAGCTATCAAATCACTTCCCTACACCCCTTTGCGCAGCTATTCTCTTTTCAACGAAATGTGCTCTAACAAGTGACGATTTATGATCTTCCGAGCACTGGCCAGTCTCCCCTCACTCCCGACCCCCAACCGACCCAACAGCTTCCACAGCTTCCTGGAAATGAAGTGCCTATGGAACACACCTTCCGTCCCGTCGTCGATGGCTTTACCAATCTCATTAGCAGCAGAGCTCAAAGAGAGCGAGTTCGGGTTTCTGCCGAGGACAGCCGTATAGGCACTGTCGAATGCAAACCTTATGAACACATCTTCCAAATCCAGGACGTTGCTAGCAGCTTGAAGCATCAAGCTCAGGAGTCCATCATCCACCAGCTTCCTTCTCACGCTGGCCGTGAAACTCCGGAACTCCTTGGAAGCCAAGACGATGTGTGCTATCTTCTTGTGAGCTCACCACTCATCGTCGTCCAGAGTGAAGATAACATATCCGAGCATATGGGATCAGTTTAGTTTTCCTCCTCCCTCCTTGTCCGGTGGAATGCCCGAAGAGCTCTGATAACACTCGTCGTCTGTATCCGAGTGCGTGGAGGGGTCCGCCGCTGCTGCAACTTGCTGCGGCGGCAGTGATGAAACAGGGACGAGGGTGAATGGGGGAGAGAGAACGAAGGGATGAAGAGAGAAAGAGAGAAAGAGAGGGAGGGAGCCCTTCGTCGGTGGCTGTTGTCACCTGCGACGGCTGTGCCGAAGGGCTCGTCGCCTCGTCGAGCAGTATTCGGGCAAAACAGCAATGGCCGCAGTCATTCTCTCTCATTCATCCCCTACTTCCTTTAAAGTTAAAACAGCGACGGTGGCACCCCTCCTGGCGATTCTTCGGGCCAAACAGCCCTTCGTTCCGAGAATGGAGCAGCAGCGATGATTTTGTCGTTAGAAACGCTGAAGAAATCACAAAAAAACAAGATTTTAATCAAATTACGGTACAGTTTGGTGATCTGGGGTGACTTTAAGAATATCACCAAAAAATAGCTCGGTGAAAGCTTCATTCACCGGTTCCGGTGACTACTCAATACCAGTTACTTCATACCAAAATGATCGAAAGAAAAAAATAAAAAAGAAACATAAAAAAAAAAATAACTGGAGACGATTGGACTTACTTGATCTTGAAAGAAAATACTTGAAAAAGGAGAACAGGAGTCTCACAACGGCGGCAAACTGTAGATTCTCCGGCAGGCAGAATCCAGTGTTATCAAAGGGGCTTTTAGGTGCAAAAATGACAGGATGTAAGTGCTGAATTAACTAAACCATAAGGATAGATTAAAAAATTTATCCTAAAAAAAAATACAAAAATCTTTAGCGGGATCCCGCAGAAGAGGCTAATCGCACGGAGTTCGTTAATACCAAACGGCGAACACGAAACCCTCGCCCATTTCTTAGAGTTCCTGGAATACCGCCATTATCTTCTTTCTTCTTCTTCTTCCAGCGTTATTTCATTCTTCTTTGCCAATTTCTCCACCGATTCAAAGGAAGACAGTCTCCATGGATTTAGTAAACTATCAAGCCAGCCATGAACAGAGGTTGCCTTTAAAACTCGATTGGTTCAGAGAAGTCGATTTGAGCGAACAGAGATTGCCTTGAAAGCCAACCACAAACCGATTCAGAGGAAGATTTGAAGGCTGAGTGTTTGCATTGAAGCCAGAGAGTTCACTCGACTACATACTTCACCCCACTTCTTTAGGTGGTAAAGAAGGGCAGGAACGCCATCAAAGGTAACACTGCAGTACCCCACTTCTTTGCAAGAACGAGTTTCTAGATACAGACCCTAATTGCGTTCCAATTTTTTCTTCTCACTTCTTCAATTCTAAGTACTTCACTGGGTTTCTGGTTCCCTCGTCTAAGCTCCTTCCATTTGACACTAATCATTTTCATTGATCAGCATTTCATCTGCATGCAATACACACCACTATGCTTCTGTTACTCCTTTTGAAGAAGAGGGATTTCGAGCTTCACTAGTTTCAACTAGTGCCCTTAAATGAAATGGTTTTACTGGGTAATACACTTTCTCCAAAATAGTAAGATTTCTTAATTTCATATGCAAGCCCTACATTTTGGTGATTCTCGGATCCAATATCTTCATTTGTCCTATCAGGTTTTCTAATTTCTGTCATACGGAAAGCACTCCCAATTTCATATCCAAATCTACATACACCAGCTATCCTAGCTCATGTTTGAAAAAATATCTGATTGAGCATTTCCCATTAAAACATCAATAAAATCCGATGTATTATTTTATTTCCAAATCTTCCAAGTTTCATTTTTCCTGACACCCATGACCCACCCTGCAGCCCTGCCACCTCTGGTACAGTGTAATATAGGTAGGATCATAGGATAACTACTTCACTCATATCAGGAGAGAGCATAAATGAAGTATAATTCTGCTGCAATTTGGATCATTAGGTTTCACAAACTTAATAAATGGAAATTTTGGTTATGACCAATGTTTTGGGATGAGAAACAAAATTTAGAAACCATGCTGCCGACATTTCATAATATCCAATTTTCAAGGATTCAAAATCTATTCCAACACTTATCCATCAATATATATATTCCAACAGTTTGCAGTTTTGTTTGCTTTAAAATCCCTTCTTTGTGGATATTTTATGCAGCTTATCTGAAGGTATGTATGGTATGGTTGTGAAAAAAAAGGTTGTTACCCAATGTTGATCCCAGTTATTTTGGAGTTTTTTTTTTTAACAAAGTGGCTTTCTCAGACTCAAACCCAAATTCTCATGCTCGTCAGCTTAAGATTTTACCATTAGACCAAGCAATTTTTGCTATATGGTTAATATATCAAATATATTTATTTATATCTCAGAGGTCATTTCCTCAAATAAAGCCATTAAGTGGGAGGTTGTGAGCTCCATAAGGTCAACTCAAGTTTCATGTAAAAGGAGACTTCACTTGTTCCAACCAAAATTCATGAAAACACTTGTGCTTACAGGAGATG